AAAAAAAAAAACTGTTGAAGGGCAATATCAAAGGTTCACCACTGTGTTTTTTTTGCTCATTGCCGTCTTTCACAAAGATTTATGTTTAAAAAATTTGCTTTTTAACGATAAACAAAGTTTGTCAGTTCTTATTTTTATTACTCACAAATATAAAGCTTTGAGATTCCAGATTCAAATTTTTTCACAATTATTCGCAAAAATTCATGCTGATGAATAATTCAGGATGCCTTTGGTGCAGTATAAGTGAATACGATTATTTGAAAGCATAATTTGATGAAGGGGCGCAGCTAGAAAATTAACAAAGCATACTGTACGTTCCATAAAAAAATTAGTGGGTGTTGAGTGACGAGAGGGAGATTCGAGAGAGTCTAACTTAAATTTGAAATTCTTATTCAAATACGTTTATTAATAGCAATACAACTTTTAAACTGTGAGAAAGACCTGTCAAGTTTTAAACCAAAGTAGTGACGCATTTTAAAGTGAAGATAACAAGACGTTTAATATGTACAGTACAAACTTCGTATATAATATTTTGGTAAACATAGCGACAGTGTGGAATACGAAACTGTTTGTGCTAATGCTTCACTAAGAATAACCTCAAAATCTTTCAATTTTTCAGAAATCAGAAGATAGTTTTTAGACTAAAAATTCTTTTCCTATAATGCTTCCAGTACTCTACAAACAAATATTAGCCGTAATATCACTGGCTGCATCTGCTGGTTCCATAATTTGTCCACCGTATGGCAGCGGAGGATTTGGCGGTATCTTTGCCGGTTATAATGTTCCATCCATGTATGTTCTTAATCTTTGAAAACCAAACAAAGCTTTTTCCTGTCTAATTCATTTATCACAAATTTTTTTATAAACATATCGTATCCACTCAATCAACATTCAGTGCTTTTCATTACTGTAGAGACAATTCTTCTTTAATAATGCAAAAAAAAATAAATAAAATAAATAGATAATTAAATAAATAAACTACAAGGATGCTTACAGATGTCCACCAGACACAGTATTCTATTACTACACTTGCTGTGATAGCCTTTTTGGAGAATGCTGTCTGCACCTTGAGACATGGTTCATGTAACAATTACCAATTACACTTTTCTTTAGAAACATTTACTAACAGATGAAATCTGTTTTTGAAAGGTCTCGAAGTGGAAGAAATTTGAGATTGAAGAAATACTATAAAAATCTATTTTGTCAAACTCGATGATAATCATACTTCCTCCAAAAAAAAATTTTTTTTTTTAGAATCATTATTGTAGTCGCAATCATCCTCATTCTAATGATATGCATTGGATGCCTGGCCGCTTGCATCTATGGTTTCCGGAGAACTAGTGACGAGACCTGAATAATTTTCAAAATTCACCATTAACAGACTTACCTCTTTAGGGGAAATTGGTCTGTTTATTTGATAAGTTAAAGCCTACACACTAAAAACAGCTTTTGAAAACTTGATTTGCCTAACTGTGTAAGCATTATAAAGAACTCTAGAGCTTTTTGAAAAAATGGTGATAAAAGAAGCATTCAGGTAATTAACAAAAATTGCTTTTTAATGGAGAACTCGGATTGAAATTCAGATTCGCTCCCGGGCAAAAATCTGGTGGTAAACCCGTTTTTCTGCAAAATAATAGCTGATTATTTTTTAAAAAATACTTGACCATTATGTTATTTACAAAAAAATTATATGCAAGATAAGATTTACAAGAGTAGTCCCTTTAAACAATCAGCGTAAAATTAGGATTTACATTTAACAAATGGAAATTATAAACGGTAATAAACAACGTAAGTTTTGATCTAAGAAACTTTACTGAGTTGATAGAAATGGTCTTAAATAAAACAACTCGGTAGCTTTAAACTATCAAACAAAAGTTAAGTAAAAAACATACTTTCCGGTTGCCTTTTAGAAAATCAAAAGGAGAGAGGTTTTTACCACAAGCAATTTTGACAACTCCTTTCTTCTAGCAAACACACTCAAAATTTAATTCACAGAAACATATCCACTTATTTAATTTCTTGCTAGAAACGTTAACCGTTAAACAGAAGCATCATAATCTCACTGATTTTGTTAAGCACACTTTTCTACTGGGCATTTATAGAGAAACGGAGGAACCTATTGAGTGAAAAATGCTTTTAAATCGCTGTTCTTTCTTTCTTCACATCATCTGACGTCTTCTTTCTTCTTATTAGTTCCTGAGTAGATGTACTTTCAATTTTAATTAAGCTATACATTTCAAATAGTCCAAAACTGCAAGTTATATTTTTTGGTTTTCCTACTGTGATTCAGTGATTTGGTTCCCCGCTGTTTTGTTTAATTACTGCTTTTTTGCTTTGTTGTCAGTTCATTTTATACAATATTATTCTTTCAAATAAACTTGTCTTCCCCCATATTTTACTGCTATACGCTAATAGCTAGCTATTCTAAAGAAAACAACTCAATAACAAGCTCAGATTTGCTTTATGGTGTAGAACTTAACACTGACAACAAGTCTGCTCAATAATCTTAGTTTTCAAAACCGTAAACAATTCTGCTCTTATCTTCTGGACTGCTGCACCTATTCCACTCTTTCGTGTACATTCAGAATGTTAAGTAGACTGCATCAATTCGTTTATTAATTAACCCTTATTAGTTCCTGTAGTCAAGAGACAGCTACCTACAATTTATTTTTAAAACACCCCTTGAACGGCTTGAATATTATGAGACACAATAAAAATTTTATTTTTGAAGAACTGCGCGAAATTTGAAACAAACAGGTATCCTTGAAAAAAGGCCACAACAGTTCCACGAAACGAAAATCCATGAAGAGGTAGCAAAAACGAGATAGGAACTCATAGAAGATGCCAAGTGATGGAATTGAATAGTGAACTTACTAAACTGTTCTAAAGAATAAGCACAGAAAATCACTGAGAGAAAGGAAGAAAAATAAAGAAAAGCAGATTTAAAAAAGAAAAAAAAAGAAGCTAGCAGCTAGACTTTCCTCAATTTTAGATGCCGCAGTGTCATCAGTCCCAACCGAAGTGGCCTTCTTCACTTTAAAAACTTTAAAAAACAGTAATCGATATATCACTCAGATAATCAACAGTGCTTCGTTTCAAGCAACTGAAACTTGACGGAGTTATGGAGAAAACGCCATGCACTTTAGTGGGACTTTATATAGGTTCCTCACAATCAGCCATATTAAAAGAGAGGGGCTTAATTACTTGTTTAGAGTTTTAAATAAGCAGAAGTGCAGTAAACAGGAGTAAACAATTAATGGTCTTAATGCACCAAACGTATAAACGAAATCACAAACTAAAAATACCATGCTGCAAAGTACTAATCCCGAGTCTCTTTCCTTTTTCTCTCGCCCGTTTACTTCACTCATCAAGCTGTCGACACTGAACTACTAATTTGATCAGGTCCTGCACCAGTTTGGAGCAATGGAAGAGATCGAAAAATTGCAGACAAATGCTACAACGAAACCTTAACTACTAACGTACCTACCTCAAAAATCTTCAAAGGTCAAAAGAATGGCCGCAATGGGATTCGTTAGTACTACGTATATCACTAATTGCTTGAACCTTCTTACAAATAAAAGCATCGATACCACAAAATACAGAAGCTGCTCTCCATCCCGGTAAGAAAATAATGGACTCGACGTGGATAGCCTTCTGTAAGCCAAGGATACTCGTCAGCCTCCAACAGCTAAACAGTTTGCTTCTTGCCTCTCCAAACGGGTGCGTCCACATATAATATTCAACTTTTTTTTACTCTCAAGATTTGTCTGACACAACTTAGAATAAAACTTAAATCTAGTTGTTGCTATTCTCGAGAAAATTCATGTCAACAATACCATCTTTAATCTTTTTAGCGGTACGCAAATTGAACACGTTTAATAGGAATCTGAACCAATATTCCGAAGTGCACTGATGGACCATCGAAATTATGGTACTAATGAGGCACAGGCGGCAGAAGAACAAAAAGTGAAATGAATCTGGCAGGACCTAAATTGGAAATTGCAAAAAATAACTTGCGTTAAAAAGCCCATCAAATCTCTGTATCTATCGTTGGTAGTCGGCAAATCATTCAAAAACCTATCAATCCACGACGCCCTATCCAATTCCAAGCTAGGCATGTGAAACATCCGAACAAAGTGCCTCTTCGTAACAATATTCGTACCGCCTACACCAGTAACACAGAAGGATCAAACCTTACCAGCTGGTGCAACCAAACTAATACTTCATACTTGTAAAAACTGCTAAATTGCTGCATCTTCCCTACCGCGAACACAATTCATTCAAGATACAAATCACTACTTTTCGCTCTTGAAAGCAACTGCGACTGGGAACCCCTCCAGTGCTTCTCTGCAAACTGCTCTTTCTTCAACACTTTCATATCAAAGCTCTACTAATAAAAACAATATTAATTTTATTAAGGTAAAATAACACCTTTTAAAATACAATTCAAATAATAAAGCACAAGCAGCCCGTCACAATAAAAAGAAAACACTCCTAAAGACAGATCGAACCTTAAACATCCGTTAAAAAAGGGAATTACCCCTCCCGAATAATACATAAACAGTATTTTAAATGAATAACCAACTTTTGCATAATTAGCGAGTCCGCGATAATTATAGACGTTTTGAGACAAACTGTTTTAATAAGTTCATTAACCTGTTGGTCGTCAGTAAAAGGGGAACTTTCAGATGTCAGTCAAAATGACAAAATCTCACCAGTGCCTTTGAAAAGCACAATGCCTCAAACACGTTCTCCTCACTAACGACCAACAACTTAGCGAACACCTCAGACAAGAACACTGTTCGTTTGGCTAGCAGCGCTGAGGCCAGAACCTCTTGCTTGACCTCAAAAGGTCCAGCTCACGACCAAATCCCCGTTCGGTTTAAGAAAACCACAACTATATGCAAATAAGCCCATCAGTTCCGCTCACTTTCGGAGCTGCTTGTTTCTACGATGCATTAGCACTAAGCCCGGAAGGCAATCCAACCTTCCAACATAGCCTTATAATATATAGGATTTTTCTACTCGTGAAATTGTGACCAAATAGTACTCTGCAGACGCACTTGTTGTTGTCTCATTTTCTACCATTGCAATGAAGGTTATAGAAACCTACAAGTAACAATCCTGGAAAACACTCCAGACTCTCTACCGTTGCTAAAGTTGGCCTTTGACAACAGATGACTTTACGGTGAAAATGAAAATTTGACACCTTATATGATTTGTTGGCAAAATGTCCCTCTCGCACTGTGGTTACTGATGTACGCAAGATTTTTTGATTGCTACAGGCAAGAGAGACAATTCCGGAAGAAATGTACATGCATCAGCACTTCCCTTGAAGTGCAACTAATACTTATTCTTCACAACCATTACAAATTTTAAAAGACATCACCAGATCCCTCTATCGGTAAGATATTTTCAGCTTCGGGAGGAGCAATGCTGGAAAGTAACTTTTCCACAGCGGTCAAATAATGTTCATAACAACCACAACTGTCTGCAACTCCACCGATGTGAAACTTTGAAATCTGAACATTAAAACAATTTTTATAACACAATGCTTGAATCAGTGACTGATAGAAGACTTGAAAAAGTGAAAAAAAATTACATTTCCCAAGCCGATTTGCTGGGCTAGATGATTGATTGAGGAAATAGCTGCATTGGCAACCTTTTCTTGGTCGCGGGGAGGCTCTCCAGTATAAAGGTAGGGAAGAAGCTATAAAATAATTGGTAAACAATGCTCCACTAAAGAAATAAAACTAAGATCTGGAAATCTGACCAAACACATTTCATAAAGAAAGCAAGACATACGAGCGACGAGATCCCTCCGTGTTCGATAGCTTTCTCAATGAAATTATGAAAAACAAAGCGCATATCCTGCCATGTTTTTTCCAGATGTCCCGGAGTCCCGTAATCAATAACAAAGAAAATGTCTGAACAAGACACTGTCATTAGCAACTTGAAATGTTCATCAAAAGTGTGGAACAAATAATTAAACCATTACATTTGCAGGCTTTGAATTTACCACTTTCTGTCAGTATAAACTTCTTTTTTAGAATTAATTCGGTTTCAATATCGTCGATGACCTCTTCTCCAACCCTTTCCATTATGATCTTCGATATTTTAGAAACTGAAACGAATGTAATTAAAGACAAATTACAAGAGAAACTTCAGCAAGATCTACAAAACTTCTCGTTGTTCCGACACCTCTACAATAAATACATCCAAGATCTAGCACTAATTTACTTAATATTCTAAACATATGAATAAGACTCGGCCTACTTGGTTTGCAACTAGGAGTTATGTCACATACTATAGCATCGTACAGTACTTCCTCAGTAGTAGCCAATTCAACAATTTCTTCTTTCACAATGTGAATTGCGGATTTCAATGCATTGTACCGTTCTGGAAAAATCGCTTTTTCAAACTGACAGGAAAAAATGTTAAATATTAGCAACGAAACAACCAAAAAACTTTACCCACGCAATCATTTACTCTCTTCTTAAAATCACAATAACTTTCCTTTTAACTAAATAATGTAAAAATTGACTGCTTAACAATAGTGATGAAAAAGAACAAAAATAGAGGCTATTAATAGCCAGAAAAGCGACAAAAACCGCTTCTACAAGTTCCCGCTACGTTCCAATTACGTCACTCCTAGTCTGAATCCCTACTCCATATTCCTTCCCGCCCTAACAGGCGGAGATGATACTTGGAGACTGTTTAAAATCGCCTTTAAGCCCAGCTAAAAAAAAAGTATGGGGCGTTTCTCGACACTTTCTCCTCAACTGTAGTTTTTGTACTACAAATTACCATGCTCATCCAATTGGAAATCTTGAAGAATGATCCAGTTCTCATAACTGATAGCTCTGAGTAAAAAAGAACGCAAACTCAGCCTTCATAAACTGATAACAAACTCGACATACGATTTCTACGATTTCCTCAATTTTAGTTAAAAAAACCTAAGCTCATGTTTCCCGTTCTTCGGCAACCTCAACTGCATCATTTTAGAATAAAGTCACGTCATCTACTGCTCGAACATGAAACGGTGAAGACTTCCTTTCAAAAGCTTTGCAAGACCATCGTTTTCCACTTAAAATTAGGGTGCAAAAGCCTTACTTTTTTCAAAAACACTATTAATGAACAAAATAGGCAATTTTGACTTTTAATGTTGCCTATAATCACAAAAAATAAGACCAAATTTGGTTAAGCAAAAAATACCATGTTGCCTTTGAAGCCGATCTTCCTCAGTTCCAACCGTAGAAAATCGACCTTTAAAAACAATATTTAGGTCATCAAGAAGCCTCAAAGATCTCTTTTTCATAAAATAATAACTGCTTCCTCAATGAAACTTAGACTTACATCTGTTTTCTCGTGGAGACTCTTCTTTAAGGCTTATACGATGTCTTATACGTGACCTATTCGAACGTGGACCAGTCACAAAACCTTTAAGTAAAGCGTTTGCAGCTCTGCTTACTGACGAAGAACTTAGCTGACGCACTATAGCCAATGAACTTTTCGTTGGGGTCCTTTCAAGACTACATAAATCTGAATGTAGGTTTTGTGGTTAAGATGAGCAACAAGCTTCTGCAATCTGATACTCTTTGGGGGAAAAAAAAAAGGAAAAGCCTGAAACCGGGCTCATCTGCTCGTTAGAGCCGTACCATTGTTGTTTCCCAAGTCGCTATGCGGTATAGAATTTAGAGAAGCTACAGATGCCTGAACCTTCAAAAGATGAAGAGAACGACCAGCTGACCGAAGAGCTGACAGTGAACGACCTATACTACTTGGGATAGATCGCAGTGGGGTCCCTTCCCTTGTCTAAACAGTAAACATACCAGGGAAGTAAACTTGAGCATTTCAAAAAAAATACACAAGTTTAAAAACATACTCTCGTTTTAAAAGATTGATCAAGTGAAACCGGTTTTGACGCTGGAGTACTAAACATTTTTCCAGCATTGGATGAGCTGCACGGGGAAGCATTGAAACCCTGAAGCATCATGAAAAAAATTTTCAATACAATGAAAATCATAGCAAACTATTCAAAAAACCACAAGCACAACATTTGAACAGTAAAAGTGTAAAGAACCTCCAAATCATCACATAAAGTTGCAAGCGGTGCCAGTTCACGCGACTTTTTGCTAGCTGAATTCGGAGTGGTCAATATAACTTTCTCCGTTGAGCCTCTTGAATCATCAGCTTTTCCGCTTCAAAAGTTTATTTAATCTCCACAACACCATAGGCATTAAGATGTAGCTCAAAAACCTACCAGTTTGGAGATACTATACCAAGCACACGTTTGGCCTTTTTCGGCGGGCTTACCGAATTGCAAGAAACTTCGCTGCAATTTTCGACCTCATCCAAAGTGTCCAACGGTCGACTTCTTCTCCCTCCCTTAAAACTTTGATGTCGTGGTGTAGATAATGGTGTAGATAAATAAAAGCCCTAAGGAGTGAGTTATCTTCAGGTAATTGTAATCCAATCCCTTTAAAGACTTACAGAAAGTGTGAGGCGTTTCCTATGACGACTCAAAAGTTCTCGTGCACGTTGAGATACAGTTTTCTGCTCCGAAACGTTTTCACTGTCCTAAAGCAAATTCCCTTTACGTCAATGAAGTAAATAAAAGCGCAGAGCCTGCTCAAAATACCTACAATTGTGAATAGTATTTTTTAGTCCATCTTCTACTTTCTTTTTGTTTACAAAACTTCGAAAACTTCAAAACAAAAATGAAAATCAATCCTCTTATCAAAAATTTAACGAAGTTTCAAGACTGCCCAAGAACTTAACACTAACATTATCAAGAGACCTCCTCCTTAACCGTGTCATCATCTTGAAGATGGTCTCGTTTTCTGAAATTTATCATCTCTTTTTAGATTATACCAGCCGAATTACTTCTTAAAAGAAACCGATCTATAGGAGGGTTCCCCCGCAAAAAAACGAGAAAAACAGAGCAGAATCAGGCGAAACTTGACCAGGGATACTTGGAAAACGCATCCAAAAGAAAAAGTAAATTGACTGTACAAAGTCAAAAGAAATTATTTCAAGAGCTAGGCAAAATAGTGACTTTAGTGACTTGAAAGCGAGTGTATAATGCAGGTACAAATTACTAATTGGTAGAGGATTACGAAGACAGAAAAAAATGTGGCCGGTAAAGTGACACAGGTAGAGCTTCTACACAAAAAACGAAATAAGAGGTAAGAAAAACTCAGAACCACTAATTTAAGCGGAAAGCTGTGAAAAAATTGTTACTTAATAATAAAAAAAAGAAGAACAAGTCTTAAGAAACATGCAATTTTACGACACTGTAGGTCCATCTGAAAGCAAGGACACTACAGCGTCCCAAAACATTAAAAGAGGCTTTCTGTTAACTGTAAAAAACGACCAAAATAACATAAAGTGTTGTTTTTGACTAGTACCCTTCCCTCAAAAAATGATTAGTTTTAACTTTATTTCACCTTCAAATACTAGTGCCCTAGATTCACCAAGCACCGATTCAGAAAACTCAAGGTACATTTTTAATTTTGAAAAGTCCAAATTTACACAATATTTTGTCTTCTCAAACATATCTGCGTTCTCCTACCGCTGACAGAAAAAGTATAACAATGCAGATGCAGTGTAAACTCAATATTCTGCATTAGTTTCGTGTACGTCAAAAATTAACATTCCCCCCATACTCAAACTTCCTCTTCTCGTTCTCTTTATTTAAAAGCATGAAATGCATAAAGCGAAGAGTGATGTGACGCCTAGCTGAAGAAAATGTGTATCTACCATTTGTACCATAAACGTAATTTTGCCTTTTTGAGGTAAAGGAAGTCGGCAAAGCAATATGTAAAATAATCAAACTGAAGATAAAACCGAGAGAGTGATATCGAGGAAAAACACAAACACACCATGCAGTCGCCTCACCGAATCAACATCGTACAAGGTATAAAAGAAATGAAAAATCACAATCGTTAAAAGTGAGCAAGCTATTTCAGGTGAGGCCAAAAAGCCGAAAATTTGTAAAAACAAAGGTGATTTATAGAAAAAAAATCTTTGCAAAGGCAAACTAAACTAAAACAGCGTCCAATCCACAAGCAGCAGTAAACGACAGAAGAGCTCTTATCATGACGAGGTCTAACAAAAATAAAAACAGTACACATTACTGGTATATTGCCGACATAACCAGTGCGTCTCCGGCGGTCGCTTCTCACTGATACTGAGTGACCACGGCATGGTAGCGCGGAGTGCTAAAGCAGAACAGCTCCCAATCTTCCAATAACCTCATCAACTTCGTACACTTTGGTAAAAAACAAAAATTGTTGCCTGGTGGCGAGGTATCTTGGAAGACTGGAGAGAACACAAAAACTTGGTAAGTAAATGTGTAACCTGTCCTACATCTTAAAAACTGACTAGAACTAGGAATTTCTTGGTGCTACCAAAGGCTTCCAAAAACTTAATTTTGTGTTCAGCAAAAATGAAGCTGGTAGATCAGGAAAAATGACTCACTAGACCACTGACCATTACCACAAAACATTCCCAAAGTTTCAAGAAAGCAAAAAGCTACGTCTTTGAGCCAAATAATTCAGAAACCTAGGTCCCGGTTGCAGGAGAAATGTGGCATCCCATAAACTGAAGGTTTTACTAAGAATTTCTAAATTCTAGACACCGATTCTGAAACTTATAGTTAGCAGGTGCGAACAAAACCTACTCAAAAAAAAGTTATTTCCTCCAGCTGAGCTTTAAAAATTTTCGGCGGTAAAAAAACCTTGAAATACAATAGAACCAAAGAAACAGCTTACCATCAACAGAGGTATCAAGCACAATCAACAT